AAAGCGAAAATTTATATATGAGGAAAATTTTATTGGCTTTTGATGCTTACATGCTTTTGATTCAGATAATACTGATGTAGCATTGCAAGAATGCTGTGACTAACAATAAATCTAAATTAATAATCTTTTCAGAAGAGAAGGAGAGATAAGGATCAGAACAAGTGCTGGGAAAAGTTAAATAGCGAAGAAGCATGTGTCGCAATAGTAAGTGAAACTGCAGTTAGGGTATTATGGATCTTTGATGGCTGATAGAATCGCGCGTGAGATGCACGCGAGTCACGTGTCCGCGCGTGTACAAATACGTACATGAATGCTCCAAAACGAATAGGGGGGATGATGCGCTGAAATTACGCCGTTAAAAGGACAAATCGCCAGCAGGCGGTGGCATATTTCGCAAGGCGAATTTATTGACGGTCATTTGCATGATCCTGAAGCAATTGTTGGTTTCACAAAGTCGGTCGTTCATTCTAGAAAACATATATGTGTGACAATGGTGTAGGAATATAACTCTGGCGGTTTATTATGTAAAACTTGGCGGGTCGATAATTCATGTGTCAATGAAGCGTAATGTGAGACACCGATAATAGAAGGATGTCTGGCTGTTGCAAACTGACATTTCATTGTACTCTTTTTGCATACGCGATAATAATGAGAATAATTGGATATAATTGCGCAAAGTGGAAGTGACTATTATTTCGAGAGTTTTAATTTTGCATTCTGAACGATTAGAGAGAGATGTGCGATTTCAATAAATATACAAAACATTTACATGTTGCACACATGCACAATGTAATTGAGAAAAGTTTTAAATTATATAACAAAATAAACAGAAGGAGAGTATATTTTTATATTGATCGATTGCGTGTTCAAATTAATCGTTGTTTAATTAAAATCTTTACTTAGTTATCTTTTATCGTTTGATTTTGTCATTACATTTTTACGATAATATTAATTAATTTATTTAATTTGTTTCATTGTTTTAGAATATAAAAATAAAGTCAAAGAGAAATATGAATCATGAGGAATTCAGTATGAAAATTTGATAAAACGTAGTAAAAGATCTAGATGCTGCGTTTTTATTCAGTTACGCTTAATTTTTCAGTTGGAAAATGTATTATAACATATCTGTAAAAATACTTAAAATAAAATTTAGACAAAAGTTTGTATATAGTTTTATTAAATCGAACATTTTTTATCTAATTGCGTTTGTTTTTCAAACATTACTTTTTACATTTAAATATTACGCTCGCTTTATTCTTGATGATAGTATAGTTATAGATAGTTTGGTGATAGTAAATTATTTGCAGGAATTATTCACATTTTACGATTTACTTAATATTGTAGTTTAATATTGTAAATTGTGAGATATTAAGTTAAATTGAATGATAAAACAGTTAAGAAGAAGTCTAAATTATAAGTTCTAAGTTAGTAAAGCTAAATTAAGTTGAATGAATACTATTTTGATGATAGCATCGAGGAACCGGTTATTTTCTAAAATAAGAAATATTATGTAAAAGCACTTTTTAATGACATTGCATCGACATTGCATATCCCAAGAATCATTATACAATTGATGTAATGTTTGGTTTTGCGAAAGTTCACGCAATTTTACGTAAGCTATGATTCTTCTTTCTTTGACGAGTAATAATATAAATTAAATTAAATTTTATTACTTATTTCTATTTTTGTTCACATTAGTTTACATTATTTATTTAATTTATTTCACTTTTTGTTTTTTATTTTCATATAATTTTTTTCTTTGACAAATTTGATTGATTTTATTACAGACATCGTCAAAATAATAAGATACATTTATTATTACTTTAGACGGCACTTTGTAATTGATTTCGATATAAAACGTTTTGTTATTTTTTATCACATCATCACATTTGCGCTGAAGATGGCTCAAAAATAAGGTCGGAACGTTCGCTAACTTTTCTTTGTAATTTGTTCCATACTTATTTGATTGTATAATAAATAACTGTGTTATAAGATAGACATTTGATTTGTATTGCCATTAAAACTGATTTGTTTAATAATATAAAATAAATCTAACAGTTATATTTAGCAGTCATGAGGAAAGTCGCACTGTGCCGAAAAACATAACGTTATGCAGTGATTTTCGCATCTATTTTTCAATAATAACAAAAAAATAACGATATATTACTCGAGTTATTAAATTAGTGGGATGAGATTATGAATTATAATTGAAAATTTATGTATTGCTGATTGCATATCATATTTTTGCGATAAACAATGCAAGAGAATCTGTGAAACATCTGATAGTAATTGAACGTTCAAGCGTGAAAAGGCACATACAAAGGTATATGTGAAAAGTAATGTGGGACGATGCTAAATGTGACAAGAAAAAACTATTATGAAACACCATGCGATTATGAAGAAAATACATTTCCAGATATTTAAGATTGAGAATATGATTAGCGAAAATTAAAATACAACATTCTTCGATCAGTTCACAATTCAATTATATATTAATGATTCAACGTTGCTTATCATCGAAAAGAGAAAGAAAATATTACAGTGTTGCGGAAAATATATTTTTTAATAATTGATAAAAATTTAAGCATTGATTTTAATAGTTTGCAAAAGAGAATTCTTCATAAATATTTTTAAAATATTAAAAAAAAAACTATGTAATTTAACATATGTATTTTCTAAATAGCAAAATATTGCTACTTAATTATATATAATTTTATTAAATAATTACAATCGAAAAGACGTACTCTCTCGTAAAAAGTAGAAGACAATACTTCTTCCCATAGATATACATAGAAGCTATGTAATTTGAAAAAAATTATTCTAAACTTTATACTTGTTTGTGGCTATGAGCAATTGTCTTCGCGCCATGCTAGATAATCTGCATGTTTCACAGATGATTGGACCGTGAAAAAAATGGTTAATTTTCGACAGAAAGGAAATTTGTGGCGACACCTCCCTATTGTCTGAAATTGCATTGCATACATATATGGGACTGCTTCTTCTAACAAGGGATCGTTCATGCGTGATGGAATCATACGGTTAGTTGTTAGTTGTCGAATCGTTAGTCATAATCACACTCCAGCCTTTTTTTCGGCTTTGCTCTCACTCTTCCAGTGAAAAGTCCGACGTACGATCCGTTCATCATCCGTTGCTCACCTCAGCTTGATTCCGTCGCACCGTGTGAAAAGTCGGAAAGACAATTTCATTTTATCGAGATGATGATAATGACATCAACAATATTAATAAAAAATCGAACGTATATTGAACAGATATGAAAGAGTATCGGCACTGATAGAAATTGTATTTGATAGTGAGAAAACGCTATTATTAAATCACTGCAGTGACGATAAGTGTCATGAAGGTATGTTCGGGTGAGTATAATTCTGATGATGCAGAATGACATTTTACCATATTCGATTCACATAAGACAAAAGAAATGATTTACGTGGATTTCTTTGTAGTAAATATATAGGAAGGATAAGATTAATATAGAATAATAAATAAGCAGACAAAATAGACTTTATAATATTTAAGAAATTTCTTATTTCTTTATGAAGAAAAAAATATTAGCAAAATAACATTTATACAATACATACATATGTTACTCGATTAATCAGTTAAGACAAATAGAAAAATATTTTTAAAACATTTTTAATATATTTTTATAAAGTTAAAAAAATAACTTTATAAAAGGATACTGCAATCTCAAACTGTAGATTAGTCGACGAGAAAGAGAAACAAGTTTAATCGGAGTTCGTCACGCCAAGTGTTTGCGATTGCGCATGTTTTTTTTTTAACGATGTACTCACTGCCATTGAGTAATGCCAAATGGCAATTCAAACTGTCATTAGAGGCTGCGAAAATGAGCGGGTTCTTCCTGTCTATTTTTCTTTTATTTTCTTTTTTTTTCGTTGTGACCACATCGGATTATATTAGACGTGTGCGAACCGGTTCGTACGCAGATTTATGGGAAGAATGCAGATTTCAGCAATCGGCAAACCACGCATCTTGCGCAAGAAAATTCCATGCTAAAAATTCCATGCTTCAATTAGGACCTTGTTTTAATGGCGATATAAAAGTGAAAATTTCTTTTTATGACAAATTGCGAGTTTTTCTTCGAGTAAAAATGTCATGGATATACGATGTTTGTAATAAAATTTAGCAATTTATCTATAAGGTGATGCGCAGTGTGTGTTAAAATTTTCCTTAAAACTTATTTATTATATGCGCAGAGAATCTCTAATATGTGCATTTTATTTAATTCAGAAGGAAGAGCATAGACTTTTTAAATAAGCATTATTGTAATTAAAAATTATGTTAATATATATATATATATATATATATATATAAACTTATTAATGTATATATATTTATGCGTGCAAGAATATATAATGAATATACAGGGTGTTCCTAAAATGTCTCGTCAAACTTTAACCATAAATGCTACGAATAAAACAAAGCAAAATGTCCATATAAATATGGATCCGGAAATGTCCCCCTTCTGAAATAACACAGGATGAAGTCACGTATCTTCATAGGCCTACTTGGCTCAATCACTGTAATAATAATTTGCATCAGATAAGATGTTCAAAGTGGCCGCCATGAGCAGCAATAGTGAACACGTACTTAATACGTACGTAATACATACAGTAATAAACTTCTTCACTATCAACATCTGTGGACCATAGATGTTACGCTATCAAAACAAAGCAAAAAGCTAACATTCCATAGGAGATTACGTAGCTCTTATCTGATGCAAATCATTACTACAGTGAGCCAAGTAGGCCTATGAAGATACGTGACTTCATCCTGTGTTATCTCAAAAGGGGGACATTTCCGGATCCATGTTTATATGGATATTTTGCTTTGTTTTGATACGTAGCATCTATGGTTAAAGTTTGACGAGACCTTTTAGGAACATCCTGTTTATAAATGTTTTTTTTATATATATTATTAAAATTTAAAAACTTAACGCTCATAAAATAAAATGATTTTTTCAGTTAACTTCCTACCATGAATATCAGTGCGCCACCGACAATCGACAGGATGTCTAATATCTACAACAATTCAGCAGTGCGTTTCTGGCACTATATATTCCACGATTTATCTGGCAAGTTTACATTATGCGAAATTTATTAAATTTGAAAAGGTTTATTAAACTATTAATCCATATAATGACAATGACATGAAACAGTATTGCCGACTTCTTCATCGGTATGAGCCGTTTTTAATAATTTTTTGTAGAGGTAGCAATAGAATCACTCGAAACTTTTAGTTAAATAAATGAGTATGGATATATTTATAAAGAAAAAAGTGGATCAATTAATATTATAATTAATAAAGAACAAGTATCGCGCCTTCAATAACTATCGTCACCCTTCGATCTCTTCGCAACTTTTCTCGATCAACGCTTTGTCTCGACTGACTTATTCAATTCTCGCATCCGCGTTTCTGACCTCTTACCGTTAAATTTAAAATTATAATAGCCGCCGAACTGTTGTCAAAACATACTGCTTGTTGCTAAGAAAATTAACGCGTCCTTGGCATCATCGAGCGGTCCTCGGAGGACATTCGCGCAAAATATAATTATTCCACAGTATATAATTACATTCTATTATTTGTGATATCCTTTTGTGATATTCCTTTCCATTGTTGCATGAAATATTGATCTAAATTATGTTACAGAATCATGTGATATATATTGTAATATATAAAGCAATAATTAATATTATAATTGTAATGTATAAAACTTTATTTACTGTATCGTACTTTAATCTGACAACTTTTAATGTCTAATGCTAATATAACTTTCTTTGATTGATTTTTTACTTATTAATCTTGTATTATTCTTATAATATATAGTTCTTATAATATATAGTTACACAAATATGTAATTCCGAAATATAGAGTAGAATCACGCAATATTATCTCATGAAATTTATTATTTATAAAATTGAAAAGGGGAGACGATAAATTGCGCTTTAATTGTACATGATTGATTGATAATAGAAAAAGAGAAAATATTCAAAGAAGTAAGTCTGTATTAATCTCTCTGTATTAATAATCTTTTACGTAAAATATTTATATTTAAAATTCCTTTTGATAATAATGAAATAGAGCGAACTTATTTCAATTTATATTGGAATAATATATAAAAAGTTACATAATAATGTCAATACAAAATATAAATTAAGATTGCTATTTGATTTAATCATATTTTGTTCTTTTCAGATCCTCGAACTAGAGACTGGTTTCTCATACCATCACCCATACCTGGCGCTAGTATTATAATTGGCTACCTATATTTCACATTATCATGGGGCCCGAAATACATGGAACATCGAAAACCGTATCAATTAAAAAATACCTTAGTCGTTTATAATTTTTTACAGATTCTCATTAGCATATGGTTGTTTTGGGAAGGCCTAACCGGTGCATGGCTCAATAACTCCTACAATTGGAGATGTGAACCGGTGGACTATTCATATTCTCCGTACGCTTTTAGAGTGCGTAAAATGTTGCATTCAAAACATTTAATTATTAGTTTTGTTAAATTTTTGCATATTTCTAATTAATTTTTAATCAATCGTGATTTACTTTCGAAATATGTTTGCACATTGCGTTTTAAAGGATTACTACTACAAGCTTGTAGTTTTGTAATTTTCTCTAATGCAGCATATTAAAGTGTTCTGCGCATTGCATCCTACATAGATAAGTAAAACTTATTTAACACATGTCTATGTAGAACGCAGTATGTATATACACGCAGTACTTATATACACAAAAATAATGCAATTAAATTTTCTTAACGTCATAAATGAATGAAGGTGGAACGATTGAAGTCAATTATATCTTTATCCGCGTCTTGCGTGATGTTTATTGTAGATCGCAAGAGGTGTTCACTTGTATTTTCTGGCGAAACTCACGGAGCTCCTTGACACGGTGTTCTTTGTGTTGCGCAAGAAAGAAAAGCAAATCACGTTTCTTCATTTGTATCATCATACCGTGATGCCAATGATATCGTGGGGTGCTACGAAATATTATCCCGGAGGCCACGGTATTTTTATAGGTATGTCAGGGTAAGGAGTAATATAATATGCACCTCTTTCGTTTTCTTCTAATAGAGTTATCTCTGTATCATTCATTTTCCACAGTTTTAACAATCAAGAATCAAATCATATATACGTACTGATTCGATATTCGCTTACAGGAATCATTAATAGCTTTGTGCACATCATCATGTACACTTATTATCTATTGGCAGCGTTGCTACCTCATCACCAGTATCAACGGTACCTTTGGTGGAAGAAGTACATTACCACTTTGCAAATGGTAAGAAATAAATGCGTGTATAAAATAAAAGATAAAATTTTCATTTCACTAAAATTTTCTTTTAAAATTTCTATTTTCGTCTATTTTAATGATTAATTTCATTGGACATCGACCGTTCGTTGACACAAACTATTTCATCATATATTTATGAAAACTGTTAATGTGGCAATTTTCGTTCGATCTACAGGCTCAATTCTGTCTGGCCTTCCTGCACAACTGCCAATTATTGTTCTACGATTGCGACTATCCGAAATTTTCGCTGGTTTTCGTCCTACCAAATGCGGTGTTCTTTTACTTTTTATTCTCGGACTTTTATAATAACGCTTATACTTCGAAGAATAAAAGCTTAACGCCGTCGATCCAGAACTCGGCCAGAGCGAACGGCATCGCGGAGAAAGTGAGCAACGACGAGATACCGAACGGAAAAGGGAAAAGCGACTAATTGGGAGCGGCCAGGGAAGAAGATGATTGCGACCGCAATGAAACGCGATACGGCCACTATCATTCTGTTTTTTCAATTGAATCGCAATTGTATTCTCTATTAATTAATTTTGTCGATGTGTTACAACTGTGAAGAACATTCAGTGCTGAAAAAAAAGATCAAACGCGCACAATGCAAAAATAAATCGTAACAACCGTAGAAATGGCCAGATATTGACACAGATCGAATACATTTAATTATTGATTGATTTTTTAGTCTGTTTTTTATACCAGCTAAAGCGATCCATCTATTGCGCATTTTATTCTGCATCTTCTTATCTTTAGTGCATTTTCACATTATAGTGAAATTTTGACAACAAAGTCAATGTCAAACTTCTGTGCATAATTAGTATGTAATATTTCAAATACATCTATTTTATATATGATTTAAATATAAATAATGCAAACATTATTATTTCTTCTTCTGTGTATGTATTATTTATAAATTTACAGTTTAAAATATTACGACAATAGAACGTATGCGCAATTATTGCATATATACTTGGATACTAACAAGTTCAAATTGAATAATACATTGTATGTATGACAATTAGTTAGATTCGCTCAATTAGAATCTCTTCCACATAGTGTTGTTTTCATGAGGAAATACGTAAAATCGTGTTTTATCTATTCTATAATTCAGCCATAATATTCGAATATTCACTTATGATTATATCATAGCTACGCATGATGAAATATACTTTGTTTAACATTTGATAATTTCGGCAAGATATCTAAAAGCTAAAAATTAATGATATTTTTAATAATGTTTCAAAACATAGATTTTTCATATTTCTTTGTTAATAATAGATAGGTTATATATGCTTTTTTATCGAAAGAATATTTTATTTCATTTGTTTTCGTGTTACACTTTGTCATAGATTATCTATATGGATTATCTTATTGCAAATCATGGATATTATAAAAATGATAAATATCACAAAATTTTCTGCTACGTGAAGTTCATAATTTCAGCAAAATATATAATATGTATTACGTTATTTTAAGAGAAATCATATTGCTTTTTTACACAATAACAGCCAGATAAAACATTCTATAGATCTCGAGAAATCAACAAAATATCATATATAAATGCTAAAAAATATATTCACACATATTTAAAGCCTTGCTATTATCGTAATCTTCGCTTGGTCGAGAGGTCCGATGAATTCATTGACAATGTTTATAAGATTATGCAGATTTAGCTGTAATTATATAATTGCGAGTTGAATTGCGATTTTAAATCGTAAAGAGGATACGCGATACAGAATACATTGTGATGACAAGCAAGTACTTTTATACTTTCAAATTTGCAGCGTATTTCGCGACGTGATTAATCGCAATACGTATCTAATGCGATTAATCATTCGATTAGAGCTAATTACAGCACTAAGATATTAATGAATACCGTATGCCCTAAATATACAATTTTACAATAGTTGTTTAACGAATAAAAATCCTATCAATCGTTTATAGATGCTAATGAAAAGTTTAAGACGATATTTAAAAGAACGTATTCCAAAAATTTATATCAAAATACAAAAAGTGTATCTATAGTTAATCATATCGATATATATGGACATAATATACTATTTAATTAAAACATGTCAATCAAAAGCACTTTTAAGAGATTCAATGATATTTTTTGCTATTTTGCATATATATATTATATTCTTTTTATATATTATACAATTTACAAAGTTTTAAACTCCTTGTGAAATTGTGGAAAATTTCGTTTGAACACTGCCGAATTTATTCTGAAAAATTAAATTTTCGAAAGTAAGAAATTTTCAAATTAGATCTTATTGAGTTTCTTAATTAAGTTGGTCGAAAAAAATTAGAATCCTTGTCTTTCTAGAATTTTTATCTGCGCTAGGAATGATTGTAAAAGTTCATACATAATATAAATATATGCGTGCACTATACGCATGAGCAAAATGACTTTCGAAATAACGCATTAAATGTGTTCGGAACAAGTTAATAATCAAATATATATATATATATATATATATATATATATAATATATAAATATATATATATATATATATATTTATATATATTATTTTATATATATTATTATATATATATATATATATATCAAATAATTGTAGATATTAGGAACAAAAAGTATACATAAATAATATAATATAATTGTCATTTTTCGAATAGAATAATACACAGTAATATTAAGTAGCAGTAATAGATAAAATGATTATGAAACTTAATTGTTAATTAAACGAATGTAATTACAAGAAAAAACTTTTAAAATATGATTTTTTGATTATAATTTTTGAATTTTGTATCTTACGGAATTTTTTTTCTAAATTTTGATTATTTTATTTTTTTTAATAAAACATTGAATAAATTTTAATAAAATTGAATATTTAATAAACTTATTATTTATATGATATTATATATTTATTAAAAAAGTTTTTTTATATCGTTTGAATCATCTTAATTCACAAATGTGTGTTTGAGGGCTCAACGAATATTCTATTAGTTACTTTATTTCTTCATCAATTTTATTTAATTTAAATATAATATAAATAAAATAAAAATATGTAAAAAACAATATATTATACACAATATCGGAATTCACGTCGGAAGAAATATTGATAGCTAAAATAATGAATCCAAAGAAAATGGCTTTAAGCTTGTTTGCTAATTGCTATGAATATTCCGTGGTAAATGCCACGATTCCCTCTTTATCTTTCTTCTAATTTTACATATTGATAATACTTTCGTATTTAGAGATACTGACAATAAAATATATGTTTCTAGATTTTAAGGTTTATTGAAGTCTTATTTTTTGGAGATACTAAACTACTGGGGTTTCTAATGTAAATAGTTATTACACAATTTATAATTATAAATATTATATCTTTTTTAGTATAGTATAGACAGTCTTCCAAATGATTTATTTTCGAAGAGTCGCAATTTCAAAATTGTTGATTGATTGCACAAAAAACTTCGATCAAAAATTTCGCGACTTCGAATGAATGGATGGATTATTATATCGATCATTTTTTTGTATCATATAATGTATAATTTTTATTATAAAATAAAAGTGTAACATATTAATACATTAATACGATATTAGTAATATTGTAATCCACAATGTTATTTTTGATACTTAACAGCGAAATTTTATTTTTAATATTTTTAATTTTTTTAAAGAAAATAAAATCAATGACGTACTTAATTTTATATAAATTTAGAGAAATATTAATTTAATTAATTTAATTTATTCAATATCACATATCCCAGGTAGCAGAGTGACGTCAAATGATATCTTAATAACGTTTTAATGTCATTGACGTCATTGTACGTCCTTAAGACATCTGGAGACGTCATCTTGCTACCTGGGATTTTTATATGTTATATGGTAGATATATTGAAAATGTTGCATAGACATTCATCGTGATAATTAATAATAAATATAAGATATAGACAACATTTTTTTAGTATTAAAATATATATATGATTTTTCATTTAAAATGTATCTAGTGAAAAAGACAATACATACACCGTAGATTTGATATATTATGAATCTATAATTAATTGATTCAAATAATTACAATGTATGTATACTTAAGCAATAAGTGCACATCGTTTTGATGACAAATGACATGATTTGACATTATATATATATATATATATATATATATATATATATACATATAAAATTTAAATACATATAACATTTAAAATTTCTTTATATATATATATATATATATATATATATATATACATATATTTAAAATTTCTTTATATATATATATATATATATATATATATATATAAATTTGGCACATGTCACACATTTTGCTTCGAGTTTATATACTGCGTCTAAATAAACACGTTTTTTTTCTTTCTTTATTTCTTTTTTAGTCTTTCAATTATCGGATAGATTTTCGATATATAATTAATTTAATGTACATATTTGATAATATTTGTCAATGGTAAATTTATTGACATCCAAAAAAGAGATTCTTAAATATAAAATCTTGATAATTCTTAAATCTTAAATCTTGATAACACTGGAAATCGCGAGACTGCATGCATTTTAAAATTGCTTTCATATTTTAATATTTCTTCATATAGTAATGAAAATGTTAATATGTGCTTTGAAAGATAAATATATTAAAATAATATAGTTCTTATATGTAATTAATACAATCGGTGATACATAATTAATACAACAACGGATTATGGAAAATTAATTACAATTAATGATAATTGGTTATAAGATTCATAATGATTATGTAATAATTTTCTTGTTAAAATGTTTGCAGAACATATATAACAGATGCAGAAGCTTCAACATATATGTTCTATAAACTATATAAGGTGGGTCATTCAATAAAGTGGGCGATTCAATTGGAACGTAGCAAAACGTGTATTGTTATTTACCATTCCACTTTTTTTATCTTTATCATTTTTTTCTATCTGTTTTCTATCTAAAATAGATGTTTGAATCCGTTCCAATTGCATGATTCACCCTGTATCTTATATATTTACGCGCGTATATCTATATATACAGATATTATTTTTTATTGTAAAAGTATATGACACAATTATAGAAGATTGTTGAATTGTAAATTGCAGTCTTATTACATTTTAGCGGAATATATCTTAACTTTTATCAAAAAATGCATTTATTATTTAAAATTTTATTTTATTTTATAAATAAATTCGAATATAAATCCGTATTTTTTAATTAACTTGCGAAATCAATTTTCATTATTAGGCCGTTTTAGTTTTATACGCTTTTCGATAAAAATCGCTGAACAAGTAAATAAAGATTATCACGTTCGTTACGAAGAAGTAGGTCAGAATCTTCGGGAATTGGCAATCCATGGCCAATGTTAATATTAGATAGAATAATATTATTCCAAATTGTATCTGAAATTTATGACAAACAATTATTAGATGTGATTTATATAAACAATGTTTCTGCAATCTTTTTCTTTTTGAAATTAAAAATCAGTAATTACAATCCATTTAGCATAAATATTAGCATGCAACAAGATATATGTTAATTGAAGAGAGAATAATCAAAAGAAATAAAATAAAATATATGATACTATAAGATTTATTTTTAAGAAATAAATCTTATAGTATTATATATTTTATAAGAAATTTAAAAGAAATAAAATAAAATATATGATACTATAAGATTTATTTTTTGTTATTAAAAATGTCATAATTTCATTGATAGATCGATAAAATAATAATAAAATGAGTTTCTATGTAATTTGTAAATTACTTTGATAATTTAATTAATATTTTGAGAGATAGTTACCAATTGAATCCAGGTCATATATTTTTTCCACCAGAGATATTTTCTGTATTTGGGGCCAAGTGCCGCGATGAAATAATAACCGTACATAATAATGTGAACTATAGAATTCAAGAAACCTATAATGATACCTTGTTCACCAGGCAATAATTTCAAGTAACACCATGAGAAAACGGCTGTTATGGTGTGATGATAAACGTGAAGAAAAGTCACTTGGTTTTGTTTCTTCCTCAAAACGAAAAATACCTTCAAAAACAAAATGTTATATTAGGGGATGTTTTCCTTATGAAATCTTTTTTTAACTTATAATAATATATGTATATGTATATGCGTGTGTATATATATATATATATATATATATATATATACATATTATATCATACATTTATATATACACGTATTGTTTAATTAATATTTAATAATTTGATTTAATTGTTATTTTGTGGCATTATCAATAATTTTTATTACAATCTTATTATAAAATTGCGCGATTAAAAAAAATCACATTTAAAGAAAATAAATTTAACTATATATAACATAATAAAATTTTTGTTAAGTATGTAATTGAATATCTTGAGTGATTGTGTTGAGTTTGTGTTTTAAATTTATATTTTATAACACGTGATATTTTCCTGATATTACGTGCGTGATAAAAAGAATTCAACTCATTTGTAGTTATTGATATAATCAAAACAATGTGTGAAATTCACAAATACTTAACGATTGTCGATTTAACAAAGCGCTTCGTCCGTATTTCAAAACACCATTGGTTACGATTGCTTTTGTCGGTTAAATGACGAAATGATGTGTAACTTTTGAACGATAACGGAAGTACGATATCGATGATGTAACTTTCGAACGGAAGTATGATAAGAATTAATGCATATTGTATTGTGAAATCTTTGTAAATCAATTAATACATATTAAACATCTTAATTATTAACTTAGTTAATTTTATTTGCATATAAATTTGCATATAAATACTTACCGTGTCCAAAAGTTCGATAATTTTTGCGAAGAAATACCACCATGCGCTTCGTGATAACTATTTGTCCGAAACATATATAATATCGTTACAATAGTGTACATACATATAATATTGTTAAAATAGTGTATTTACTATTTATCGAAAATTGAAATTTTACTAATCTACAATTATTGAAAATTACGAAAAAAATGCTTACCGCTTTTTGAATAAGTTCGGCTTTTGGATCAAATCGAAAGTTGCATCCATGAGAAGAGAACACATATTTCATATCAATATTCAATATCTGAAATAGGCGAATAATTTTTACAAATTATTCTGTATCAAATGTTATAATTTGTTACGCATTTAATGATAAAGAGATGCGGAGAATCACAATAAAATTAAACTTACTAAAGATGACAACCAGATACTGAAGAGCACTTGAAACGCGTTATATAAAATCATAACGGTATTTAGTTGAAAGGCTGGCCTTTTTTCCATCATTTTTGGTCCGGCCTTCAACACGAATATTAAATATGTGCCGACGATACATAACATAGGACCCGGAGACCCCATTAAAGGCCAAGTGTCTACTATTGGATCTGTTGGGGAAGAAAATATAATTCGACTACTTTTTATGAAAAGTTATAAAACGCATCAAAAATTTTTGATTAATAACATTTATACACAATATAAATAATTTATTATATTTTATAAATTATTGTATAAATTTTGTGTTGTGTGAATTATTTCTAAAATAAATGAGTTGTTAAATTTGAAATATTTATTATTTTGATTAAATAATAAGCTAAAATAAAACAAAATTATGTTTCATTATTATTTATATACATCTGTTAGTTGGAGCATTCTTGTAATTAGTTGTAAATAGTGAAGATCCAAGTAATGAAAATAAATTAGATTATTTATGATTAAATGATCAATGCAAAACTCATTTATTTGTACGCTATTTATTAGCTAATTCTGATTCATATTAAATCAGATAATGAAAATGTTGAAAATACATAATGATATTTAATATGCGTTTGCAAGAAATGCCATTATTACAAATATTTATGATCAATATTAAATGAGTGAATAATAATAATAATAATAATAATAATAATAATAATAATAATAATAATACGCTTTTTTTTCTGTAAAAATAAAGATAAATTATATATATCCATTGAAATATATGAAGCTAATTTGCAAGAATTTATTTGTTTAAAAATAAAATGAGCAACTGTGCAAATGTTATACGCGTAAAATGAAAAGATTTTTCTATCTATATTTAGTATGTATTTGTATCTAATATTGCATCTTTTTATTATTTATAAAATTTGTCTAACAATTGATTTTGGGTCACGTATATTTTTATTTGTTAGTTTTCACAATTTTTTGCGAGAATTCAAGATAACAAAAACTTTTTTCTACAAGTGTAATTAATAGCATTAAAATTGTTCAAGCTGCATCTACATTTGTAAAGATATTTTACTGTGTGAAGATTGTTTCTTTTATTCTTTGCAAGTATAAAACAAATTATATAATTAAATTATTATGAAAATGAAATATATAATACTCATAATGGAGAAATTTGATATAATTATTCTGAATAGCATTAATATTTCCGTGAATATGTGAGTGTTTTATGTTATATGAATAGATGTTGTATTTGTTACATGAATAGAAAACTTCTAAATAATAAAAATGAATGAATTGATATTTGCATTGATAATTTAATTTTAACAATTTATTGTTTTATTATTAGAGAAAAAAATTTTTAAAAATTCAAATATATTATCTCGTTCAAAAGATTTTTTTAAATAAAATAACTTTTTAAAAAAATGGCTTCTTTTATAGTGCTAATAAGCTTACCTTTAATATTCTTTAAAACTTCATTATAATTGCTGACAACGAGTCGTATAAGACTGGCCATGATGTTCAGGCTTTCAAAAATCTGAAATATGAGTATAAAACATATTTGTTAAGTTTGTTTAGTTTTTATGCTTTTATTATTTGAATTTCAAGGTTGAGTTTTTATTTCTCATTATTTTGCATTTACATAATTAAAAAACATGTTGTTATGCTTATTATATGCTCATTTGAATTTGAAGGTTGAGTTTTTATTTCTCATTATTTTCCATTTATATAACTTAAAAAAAAATGTATGTAAGAAAAGATGAATAATTCTTCCCTTTTTTTTCTTCTTCTACTAAATAAAAATGATCTAAGATCTAAATAGTTATTTTTAACTTATATTTACTTTTCAACTTTATTGCGATTTGCAATACATTAATATAAAAATTTTGCATGTAAGATGAATTAATTTTTCATTTAATATATATTATAGATTTTTCGTGCATTTTAAGTATGTTCGAATATTTTAAGTATGTTTTTTACACGGATAAAATATTGATGTGTCCTTCTCAATTTTTCAATATATATATATGTGTGTGTGTGTGTGTGTGTGTGTGTGTGTGTGTGTGTGTGTGTGTGTGTGTGTGTGAATTTCACAAGCACAATAAAAAATATATCTATATTTAATTAAATACTCTTATCTATCACACATAAATTGTGTAATTCGTAACACTATTAACGGTATTATGTATCATTTAATGTAAAATTTGAACAAGCGTAAAAAACAGTCGATATAAGTGTCTCGTTGATTTGATTTCACGTTCACAACAGAGAAATTCGAATTTTCTTTTTATAATGTACTCACTCTTTCTTTTTATAATATACTCACTCTTTCTTTAACGAGTGATAAATTCTTATCTTGTAATTATTTGTACAAGCTTTAGAATGCAGAAATTTTTCACGTTCTTGAAATCGACACGTTAAAAAGAGGAACGAGGAAGCCCCGATATACAATTTTCTTCAGGAGCGTCTCGCTTGCGATGGGAAGAGAGACGCGTCTTATTAAAAACTGATCGTCCACTGTGGTGAGCGCCCACTAAGAAGAAAATTACCGTTCGACAAACGTATCCTGCAATCCCCACCTCGTTTGTCAACTTTCGTTATTTCCAATAACACGATAAATAGTTGATGAATAGTTGAAGAAATATAGAAATAAATATAAGTAAATAGAAATAAAAGGTATAGTTTTATTTGACTGATTCTCAATCGCGAGTCAATAAAAAAAGGAAAGAAGGTATATGAATACGAAAGATCTTTATATGGGAGCGGTAAAGATAACAGTAAAAAAACACGCCGAAGGAAAAGAGAACACTGGAAGAATTTGCGAAATAGTCGCCAAAACGCTATAAATATATAACGCTGTAAGTGAACATTCTTATCGCGACAATTATAACCATTAACATTAGATAATAAGAATATGGATATATTAGTTGTTTGGGTGCCAAGCGAATCGATTGCGTTTCTTCTGCCCAGTGCTTAATAGTTCCAGCGCATTAATATGTAAATTCACAGTAACTGCCTTCTCGATTTTTATCGATACATTCGTTTTTACTGACGTTATTGTTTGATAATAGGCAAAGTAAGACGAAATTGAAATAATATAACACTTTGTAGGTGTACATTTTTTTTAATATTAAAAAGGCTGCCCGCTTGGCATTTTTCGATCGAGTTTCTATAAAAGTGGCACTCAAACGGTTAATAACACAATAAAATATTTACATATATTTTATTTTATAATTGAAAATATAATTTTTTTACATTAAATATTCTTGTTTTATCTCTTTAGATTTATAATTCATATTTTAATAAAATTTTATTATAAACATCTTAACTACTGAATGTTAAACTAAAATTTTGTTAAAACTTGCTTAAAATTTTGTTTGCTAAAATGTCTGCAAATATTAATTTATAATAAAACATATATATAATTCCTAGTCTAAAGAATTATATATTATATTATATTATATTATGTATGAAATAATATATATATATATATATATATATATATATATAATTCTATACATAATATAATATAATATAATATATATATAATATAATATAATATAATATATAATTCTTTAGACGAAATGGTGTCAAATAAACTGTTATTATTAAATGCTCTCGAAGTTACTTACCTCACTGGAACTTGTCGATGTAATTCGACGCTGTCTCCCGCATGAGTGTTACTGATTTTACTTTCTGCTTTGAAAGGAAGTGCCAGCAGTATTTTCCTTGCGACACTGCTTCCGTTTCGTAGATTTACATATGTTTTAATATCTTATTGTTCGATTAAAAAAAGGTCACCTTGAAATGACGAAAAAATAACAATGCAGATCATGTACACGCTGATGGTTTGCATAAAAAACCTATGACTATTTCCTTGAACGTTTATGTAAATTGGTTAATTATTATGGACACATTTCGAAGAAAACTTAAGTCGCATGAAGCTATGAATTTGTTTGAATGTTTATTCACCATATATTTAACCGGAATAAGTAAGATATAACCGCATATAGGAGAAATATTTAAGAAACGTAATGGTACTACGGACAATGCAATAACTTAGGTTTGCCCATCTTTATTAAAATGTAATTGATTTTCATGACAGATACATATCGATCATCACATTTCATTTTTTCTATTTTTTTTTCAGATTTACAAAATAGTAAAATTCGCTGATATTGCACCATACAATTTATTTAAAAAAAATTATTCTTATCCTAATATGATGACTGCGTCTGTTTCATCCATTAAAAATTGAAAATTGGATGAATAATATAATGTAAGACTAGTTTTATTGAATCATCTACATATTTATCAGGTTGAAATGGGATATTTTAATCATGTTAAATAAGAAAAAGTCATACTTCACATAAATTATGTAGAATCAAAACAAGAGTAAAGCATTTCATTGTATATTCTTAAATTAGTCAGACTCGATTTTGAACAGTTGAGAATCTCTTGAATCAAATTAAAAGTCTATTTTTGTGTTTATTTTTATTTTTGTACTTTATTTTTAAATGTTTTGTGGTTATTTAAATTCATTATAAGTAATTTTATTACTATCAATAATAAATATGATACAAACTGACGAATGTAAATATTATACAGTAAAAATTATACATAGTAAAAATTTAAATTTTGAATATAACCCAGTCAGAAATATATAATTGTTGTGACACCTTGAATTAAAGTAGAGAACCAAAATGTTGAAATAAAGTTAAAATTGTGATTGAATCGATATCATGGTCGATATAATGGACAACGATATAATTATATTGCATAATAGTACAAAATTAAAGGGAAAATTCTACTAATTTTACTAAATAGGAAATATTTAAACAATAGTCATAAAAATGAGATATTTCCTTATATTTTATATGCTGAATAATAAACAAAATTCTATCTTGAAACATGTCATAAATTATAATGTAAAAAAATTTTACATTAAAATTATTATATTTTAAAATGTGGATTCCCGCGTGATACACCAACGTCATCTGCGTGTCAATAATAGATATGTTTGTATAATTTAATGCGTTGCATTTAACACTGTGTAATATATTTTATTAACATTGCACTGAACAGGGATCAAATATGACCCGAAACGTTCGTTTTTTTGCTAATATAATTACTTTTAAATTGAAATATATAATTAATTAGAAAAAAGAAAGTGTTATTTCTTCCCTATGCTCCAACTACAGCGTTGTGGCTTTATTTGCTAATTTTGATTTAATTTTTAGTTATTATTATTTGAGAAAAAATTTTCATTTATTTAACCCCTGATGAAAATAAATATCGGAGCGTAAGTTGAATGTAAGGAAAGAGTAACAGAAGTGTTAACGCTTCATTTACGTTTCATTGTTTCAATTTACGTCTTCTAGAAGCTTCGATTACACTTCTGTTACTCTTTCCTTATATTCGACTTACGCTCCGATATTTATTTTTTCCCCAGGGACATTGACTATAATGTTAACCCACTGATAATGATACTGAAATATCGCATTCTCAACGAGGAAATATCGCATTTTGACGTTAACTATTCTAAACTGTAACTATTATAATTGGAAAACGCATAGAAGCCTTCATGTCTTTAATGTTCGTAGAGAAAACTGACTGATAACACCGTTAGACAATAGCGCCGTTAAAACATTTTATTGCAACAAACTCTCAAGAATACCGATCATTAACGATAGAAAAATTATTTTACAATTGTATTGTATAACCCATAAAATACCTATAGAAGTTCCTACTATGTTATCGAGGCAAATACAATGTTACATAAAAGCCAAAATGGGTTCTATAATAGTGCTTTAATAATAATTATAATACAATTGTAATGCACTCTTTATTTTATGTAGCTAATGATATAAATGATGTAAAGGAGAGCATTTTATAATAAATTGTTATGTTAGCAAAAAAATATTTTATCGTTATTTTATTCTGTTATATTCAATTAATAAAAAAAATTTAATACATCTAAGAAGTTTATGACATCGAATAGTTTATTAATAATAAAATTAAGCAGAAATGTCGGTTTTTAAATTCAAAGTCATTGTAATTTTTAATTAAATTAAAATATTGCAAAGAAATATATTTTTTCATGGAGGGAATTTCTTAAAATTTAGAGTTTCACATAAAATCGCAGTTCCAAGACTTGTGTCTTTAATAATTTTTTAACAAACAATAAATTTTTGTCAGTTCGTTAAAGCTGCATAGCGTGATACGCGAAAAAATTTTACGATAGTTTCCCGTTATTTACATAATATATGGCATTGCATTGTTTCAATACCATATATTATCCATATATTTAACGAACTGACAAAAATTTATTGTTCGTTTAAAAACAGACCTGTGTAAGCGAACCAGCCGACATGTTTAAATAATTACGACGCTGATGGCAACCAGGTTAATAAGGGACACGAGTGTTATGAATAAAATCGACCTGGAATGTTCAATATTGCTTTCCATCATTTTTAACTAGGAAGTAAGTTAACGATTTTCAGCAAAGAAGTAGGATTATATACTCTTTGTAGTAGGTTAAGCGGTCGGAATATCTTCAACAGGATTGTAGCGAATTCAGATTTATGCGCTAAAGACGACACATATGAAACGTCGAACTACGTCATACTCTTGTGACTAAAAAGAGAACATAATCTATGTAATCCTATAAATCGATAAGAGAATAAAAAACGAGATAAAAAAATATACTTATTTACTATGTTTAGTTATTTTATGCAAGCAATTAATTTATAGATACGCATTTAACCCGTTTTAAACAATTCATAGTGAACTGTTTTTATTTGAAATAATTTCTATAAAAATTTAAATTCATTGCGCGCAATAAGTATAATAATAATAAGTATGATAATTTAATAAAAGTACATAATTTAGATAAAAATAATATACTTTAAATAAAAATAATATACTTTAAAGATAATATACTTTATAAAATTTATTTTGTTAATTTTTGCTTACTTGATTATAATACTTACTTAATTATAATATAATGTATATAAAACTAAAATAAAATACTCTGTAATAAGAGTTTTTATAAATGCATATATTTGTATATGAAACAATAAGATGTTTGTTGATTCAAACGCGTACTTATGTCATATAGTAAAATAGACGATTTGCTACGTACATCAGTCCTATAGTTGAAATAAATAGCATTTAAAAAACATAATTATTAATGTGCTACGCGTATGTCATTTTAGTTCAAGAGATCACTAAATAAATTCATCAAATTTTCTCATTTGTGTAAGCTCTTACATTACAATAAATTAACTCTATAAAGTTAAAAATAATATATTGTAACAGAATTATGTTTATATCCATTTGTATAATTTTATGGTCATTTTTACGTAATTGCGATTACCGCGAATATTACCGCATTCCGAGGCTGCTATTGTGAAAATACTGTACTAAATATTAAAATATATTAAAAAGTATATATATATATATATATATATATATATATATATTAAATAGTAAATATATTAAATAAATAGTTTAATATATTAAATATATTAAATAGTTAAATATATTAAATAGTATTCTATATACTAAAAAGTATTCTTGTATAAGCCATAATATCGTCAATTATGTAATTATTGCATGATGTTGCTATTAAATAACTAATTGATTTTTACTAATTTTTGTGTGTAAATGTTAATTATCAACGACTGGCACTGTTTAAAGCTTTAAGTCAAGTAAACTAACTATAAAAATTTCATTATTATCGAGCTTACATATCATAAAATATGTCAATTAAAAGAGATAAAAATTTGATATCGCTGGAAAAACAGAATGAAACAAAGAGTAAATGATCAAGTACTGTATAAAACTTAGGATAAACGCGATGCAAACATTCGAAATATTAATAGAGGTTTTTTAAATAATTACTTATTACATATATAAGTTTTTGGGTGATTCGGAAGATTTAAAAATACATAATTGAAAAAATGTGGAAGACGGTAAATAGTCGAGATATGTAAAAATAGTCTTATCATTGAATCTCAAAAAAGTATGCAAATTGAAAATTGTAAATGTTATTGTATAAACGTTAGCGGTTGAAAATCTGGATTTAGAATATCTTTAGAGATACAAATCATATCATTGTATGTACACAAAGATTTGTACAAATAGAAGATCTGCTTTCGGTTTTATTGCTATATGTGGCAATAAACATAGCTCAATGGTTTCCTTTTAGAGGTAAAACTGAGAGATTTCCATGAAATAAAACATAAAATATATATTTATAATATACGATTATTAAATAATCAGACTAAAATTATATAAATTTTCAAACAGCAAATTTTGAATAAAATAATGATAAAATTAATTTATTTTATCATTTTTTTATTAATTTATTTTATTTTATTCAACATATGTTTTAAACTGTTTAAAATGTGCTAAAACCGTTTATATCGTGACATACTAATCAATATACTGAAAACATTAACCGGTTTCTTCATTTCCAGTTAACTGTTAAATAAAAATATTCGAAAAATAACTGCTTTATTTTCTTATAGACTCTTATACTGACTAAGTGAAAAAATAAAATTAGTGAAATTAGAGATAAGTCAAAGATAAAGTTCTGTGTTCAAGAAAGCTGAGAAAGATTTAATTCAGTGCCTTGCTCGAGATTTTTATAATTTTTTTATAGAAGTTGTTTTTAAAAATTCTATGAAATAAAATTAGACAAAAACTTCAAGATATTTAATAAATATATTTTTTATTATATATAACAAAGGAAGCGAAACACTTTTAATCATGCATTTCTGTCCGATTGTGAAGTACCATTATCGAAACAGAAATTTTGATGATCTTTATGTGCGGATCTTCGAGAGCGTGAACCAAAATCAAATATAACGGCATCTTATAACAAAAACCGAACTTGCTGTGGATATATGCGCTTCTTTCGGTACTTCCCCACTTGTTTGTCCTTTTCCTCTCGCTCGTCCCCGTTCGGATATGTACTCAAAAAAGTAGGTCATTAGCATCTCGTCCACGGTCATGGCTACAATTAATTATTTGGCCTGCGGTCAACCGGATAACAAAATCAAGAAACCAGTGTTGGCGCAAGATCATTTCAACCACGAGAAATGGGTACGTCAAAAAAGAGAAAAAAAAGAAAGAAAGAGAGAAGTTAAGACTACCGGTACATTTCAATATCAAGGATGGAAAAAGTACACAAGAAACTTTTTATATAGTTTTAATAAACTAACAAAGCATATTTGGTCGTTTGGATAAAATCTTCTATATCATATTCTCAGAATTAAATTGGCTAATTTAATTTTGCAACTTTTTATATTTTGTTAAATCTTTATAAAATTTTTAACAACCATTTCAATTATTATTAAAATAACATTGTAGCAGTATCGAGATAACAATATCGTAAAATAAAACGATTAATTTTTTCACTTTTAACGTACTTAATGATAACCGAAAGAGATAAATAATAACAGATTTATATAATTTTAACTAGTAATTTTTTATTATGCATATATATATATATATATATGCATAATAAAAAAAAAATATATATATATATATAAGTTTATATATATATATAAATATATATATATATATAAATATATATATATATATATATATATATATATATATATAAGTTTTTATAAAATTTCTTCTAAATTGTATATAGATAATATGCATAGATAAAATATATTTGAATAACATATATAAAATATATAAATACATATATAAAATTATGGTTTAATATATATGGTTTATATGGCGTATCCATATTTTTAGAGAGTGTATATTTGTATATATTATAATTTATATATTTCATTAAATCTCTTTTTCCATTTAGAAGAAATAATATAAGCAATAGAAATATTACACATATATATTTATAAAAATTTTATCATTTTTTATCTTTTGCTATAAAAATATACACTTCAATTTTTATTTATATCATAAGTATAATATAAATAATGTATAACATGTATGATAATTTATGATATATATATATCATAAATTTTGATTATATTAATGATTACATGTATGTGAATGATAATGCTGATAATGTTGATGTTTCTATTATAACAATATTGAATTTCTTATTAATTAATGTTACTTCACATGTAGCTTAAAACTTAAATATAGTTGTCTGTAGAAAAAAATTATAATAGAAACTCCTCATATTCCGTAACTTTGAAAGTTTAGCATTTATATTATTCTAAATATAATATATTGTAAAAAATTTTAATATTGTTTTTACTGTACTAAAATAATTGAATAAATGCAAAGTAGGCAAGTGCGATCGAAGAATGATGTTAAATAAAATGTAAAATGCATATTTTTCAAGAAAAATAAAAAAATAAAAAATGTATACATTCTTTACATTGTTTACATTATTGCAAAAATATTTTTGTATTTATCTCATAAAAATTTTTTTAACTTACACAAAATTTTGCATGATATTATTATTCAAAGAAAATACACACTTACCATTAGAATTTATTATAATATTAAAGCTATAGACTTAATAAAATTTTGAAATTAAGTATAATTTTGAGAAATAATTTGATTAATTGATTGTCGTATTATACATAAACTCAAAAATATAATTAAAACGGTTCTGCAATTTCAGATATCAAAATACTATACTTTACATATGTATTCTTTTTATACAGATTTTTATTTATATATGTATACTTTTTATGCTAAAATATTTATATGTAATGAATATTAATAATCAGAAGAACCACATAATTAGAACCACATAATTATAGTTCTCAGAATTATCAAAATAAAGATTTAAGAAAATGTATATTACAAAAATATTATATTAAATGTTCGGCATATGAAAGATTTTTGCACTATCTTATTTTAAGAAGCATATTAATATTAGTGCCAAATATAAAAAAAGATATGTATAAAAAAGAAGAAAAAAGATTGATAAATAGATAAATAGATAGATGGATAGATAATAGAGAAAGAGAAAGAGAAAAATAGAGTAAACAATATATTATGCTTTAAATTCATTGTTGTTTTGAATTTTCTTTCGAAATTTCTGCGGAAACGCCATTTGTTTCCATTTTCCTCAGTATTGCCGGCCGTTTTTTAATGTACGTTTTATAATAAAAATCTCCAAATAATGTTATCATAAACAAATTCTGTGGGATCATTACATATGCTGTCCAAAGCGGGAAGCCACAATCTTCTACCCAGGCTAATTGTGCGTAATGTAAAATAATCAGGAAAAATTGGATCATTTGCAACTGAGTGATGTATTTCTTCCATGAATTTGTATTTATATTCATAGTCGATAGCAGATAATGCGTGTACATTATTGAGTGTACAAATGTATTGAGCAATCCTGAAATATAAGGTTAATAATTAATTAACTGCAAAGTACAAGATCTCGTTTATGAAGAAAGAAACTCATTCAGTAATTCTCTATTTAACTTTAACGAATAAAATTCTTTGAGTTTTAATATAACATAAACATTCTATTTTCTTATATTAAATATAATTTTCATATCAAAAAAATAAGTAAGAAAAAATTTCTTATCTTGCAATTACATATATTTGTAAAATTATTGTATATTTTAAACAGAAAAACACGAATTATTATAATAATTGCAAAGCAATTTTTTAAATTTATACCGAGGAACGTAACATGACCGCCAGGTAGATATTTAGTGGCACTCCAAGCACCAAATACCATGCCCATATGATGATATATATGAAGGAAGGTTATTTGATTTTGTTTCTTTCTGAGTACGAAAAAAATTGTCTCCAACAAATCCAATATCTTAATCATGAAATACATCCATATTGTTTTGGTAATCTGTTTAGTCAAATATAAATGATTTTTTTGTTGTCTCTTATTTCTATGTAAACGTAAAATAAAACTGAAGATATTTATGACATTTAATGTGTGATTTTTGGGCCGGATTATATATATATGTTATTATATTATATATACATATTATGTTAATATTCTCATATTACTAGCTAAATAGCTATAATAATATCGTCATTTTTTTTACCTGAAGAATTTTATTTTATGAATAAATATAATTGATAACAAAATCTTTTTTAGATTTTAGATTAAATTGAATTTTTAATTAATTAATTAATTATTATTTATTTTAAATAATTACCTCTATGGCTTTTGGTGAATACGAAAAATCAATCGGTTCGCAAAAGAAACTGTATTCGCGTAACCACCCCAATGTTAGTGCCTGTGAAATATATACAGGGTGAGTCATTTTAATCAATACACTCGAATATCTCGAAAACAGCACTCTTCAGAAAGAAATGTTTCAAACAAAAATTGTAGGGTGTGAAGGGGGACATAAGATGGTAGCATTGGTTTGACCTTGGAAAGTCATTTGAAGGTCACATAAAAGTCACCTTCAATTTCTTAAATTGAACCCACTATTTTTCATTACATATTCTTGTAGCTTATCTCGAGAGCTTTCCAAAACACTACAGACAAATGTTTTTTCATTAAGTACTTTTTGAGTTATAAGGCTTCAAAGTTTGCAGTACTTCGATATAAAATGCAAAATATCTCGTAAAATATTTAGTTTTCGGTAATCTTACCCTAATACTTTTATGCACAGGATAATGAGACAAAATTATTGGTGCAAAGAAAACGTATGATTGTTTATAATAAAAAATGTGTAATTTGCAATGCACTTTTTGTTATAAACAATCATGCGTTTTCTTTGCACCAATAGTTTTGTCTCATTATCCTGTGCATAAAAGTATTAGGGTAAGACTACCGAAAATTAAATATTTTACGAGATATTTTACATTTTATATCGAAGTACTGCAAACTTTGAAGCTTTATAACTCAAAAAGTACTTAATGAAAAAACATTTGTCTGTAGTGTTTTGGAAAGCTCTCGAGATAAGCTACAAGAATATGTAATGAAAAATAGTGGGTTCAATTTAAGAAATTGAAGGTGACTTTTATGTGACCTTCAAATGACTTTCCAAGGTCAAACCAATGCTACCATCTTATGTCCCCCTTCACACCCTACAATTTTTGTTTGAAACATTTCTTTCTGAAGAGTGCTGTTTTCGAGATATTCGAGTGTATTGATTAAAATGACTCACCCTGTATATATATATATATACATATATATATATATATATATATATGTATATATATATATATATATATATATATATATAAGCACTGTATTAATGAACTAATTAATGCATAATCTATTAGTAATATATCAGTTGAGTCATATTCTACATCGAAACGATCAAATTTTATAGTACGGAGAATGTCTCATGATATCAATTATTCCTATTTTAAATTTTTTAAGGATGCCAAGAAGTTTGCAAAAATAGAATTTAGGTACAAATCTTGTTCAAATATAAATTTGTTGATTTTTACTGTCCATATGTTATTTTTAAATATCATATAATATAATTTTTAAAAATTTGTGCAAAATTCCAAATGAAAAATGAAATTTTCTTCTTGTTTTTGAAAAATAACTATAATAATAAAACAAATGAATAGAAAAATTAATTAAAAATATAACTTACTTTATAAAATAGATATGCATTTAATACAATTTGTGAAAAATCATATATTTGCAATATTCTATTTAGTTGGAAAGGTTGTCTCCTTGCCATAAATCTTGGTCCCAAGTCATAAATAAAATATACATAAAATCCAAGTAGAGCTATACAAGGCCATGGCGTGGATATCATAAAATAATTTTTGGTACGTGGATCTTGCAATATAAGAAAAGTTAAATATTAATTATTATAATAGATAATTATTAATTAATTATACATATTGTGTAAGTAGAGATAAATTTCTTATATAAATAATTATTTAAAATATTTTTAAATATATAATTTAAGATTGAGAACATATTATAACAACTAAAATAATTACATGACTAATATTGTTATGAAATTTATATAATTGATTCTGTGTCTGTTTTATATTTTGTGATATGACATTTTTAATTGTTCGTCACAATTCATATTGCGATTAAATGAGAACTGTTAAACACACTCAGTTCCAAAAAAAGCGGTACACTTAAAATTTGGAAAAAAATCACCAAATTTCAAACAGATAACTTTGTAAATAATAAAGATAGAAGGGTCTATAAAAATGAAAATAAACCTTGAAATCTCTACTTTAAAACTAGATTCTCCGAAATGTTGCGAGATAACATTTTAAAAAATGACGGATAACGAAACAAGAACATGCAAAATTAAAAAATAATTGTTTGAGTTTGCCTCTTTAAAATGTTTTTTTGTTTATCTCGATATAATGATTTTTTACCGAGTTTTACTCATTTGAAGAAAAAAACGACTTTTTACTAAGCTTTTTTATGAGGTAATACGCGTACGAGAAGGTCATATTCACTATTAACACCACGAGCAGGTCAATGAGGTCAAAAGCATATAATAGTACAGAGATTCCTCTTTAAAATGCTTTTTTGTTCAATATGATTTTTTACCGAGTTTTACACATTTGAAGAAAAAAACGACTTTTTACTAAGCTTTTTTATGAGGTAATACGCGTACGAGGAGGTCATATTCACTATTAACACACATACACACACACACACACATACACATACCACAAGGAGGATTTGGAGTCTTAAAATACTGTGGAATTGATGAAACACGGGGTCCTTATGGTATACAAACACACACATACACACACACACACACACACACACACACACACACACACACACATTACAAGGAGAATTTAGAGTTTTAAATTACTGTGGAGTTGACGAACCACAAGGTTCTTATTCTTCCAATTCAGCGTTATTAAAAATTCAAAATTGAATGTTTCAGCATCTAATACAGCTAGCAAGATTTTTAAAAAGGCATTTTAAAGGTCCAGACGTCTACTTTTTGAAATTTTATATCGCAATTGTGTGCGACAATTTTTTAAAAACGACGGATGACAAAACGAGATCATACAAAATTGAAAAATAATTGTTTGAGTTTGCCATAACACATGACGAGAATTAAATGTGGATAAGATGATTTTTTACTTTTTACTAAGCTTTTTTATGAGATGAACAAAAAAGCATTTTAAAGAGGAATCTTTGTACTATCATATGCTTTTGACTCCATTGACCTGCGACATTTGATTCTCGCTACGTGTCATGGCAAACTCAAACAATTATTTTTCAATTTTGCATGTTCTCGTTTCGTCATCCGTCATTTTTAAAAATGTTATTTCGCAACATTTCGGGGAACCTAGTTTTAAAGTAGAGATTTCAAGCTTTATTTTCATTTTTTATAAACTTTTCTATCTTTATTATTTACAAAGTTATCGTTATTTGAAATTTAGTGATTTTTTCCAAATTTCAAGTGTACCCCTTTTTTTTGGAACTGTGTATATTTATTTAATTCTTTTATATATTTACCAAAAAATTAATGAAAAAATTTCCTCAAAATATTTATCATTGAAATATACTTATATTAAATAAGTATAATATAATATAATTACATATTATATTTATCATTGAAATATACTTATATTAAATAAGAAATAATTATATATAAAAATTTTTTATATAAAAATTATATTTATTATTATTTATTGAATATAAGAAGATAAATTATTTTATTGAATTTTATTTTAATTTTAATTTTATTTTATTGAATATTTGTATTTCATTATTAATTTTACTATTAAATTGTTAAAAGATTTAAAGGAGTAAAGGAGAATAAAAGGATTCAATATCGAAAAAAAATGTATTTTGATTAAACAGAAAAATAAATGCATGTATTGGGAACAATGTTATATAGTACTGTATCATTTTTTTTGAGACCTTTATATAATTTTTTAGTATTGCTACGATAAATGAAAAATAGTGAAATTTTAATATATGACTAAATAACCTAATGCTACTTATTTTTATGCTATATGCATATGTGTACTGCAGAAATGTGATAAGATAATTTGATAATTATGTGCTAATTGTGTATACAAATAATTGAAAGAGAGAGAGAGAGAGAGAGAGAGAGAGAGAGAGAGAGAGAGAGAGAGGAAGAGAGTGACGGAAGGGGGGAGAGATATGATAAAAGAATACATATCACAATAGTAATATTATAAAATAAAATAAATAAATATCATGATACGTACTCTAATAGTTTTTGTGAATAAAAAGAAAGAATATAGAAGAATTTGTGTATGCCCATTTATTTGTTACTCGCAATTTATTATAAACAAAATTTGTAAATACTCTGTAATAAATTAAAATTCTTCTACATAGAAATTTATTTTTTTATAATTTAATGACACGACAAAATATTGCTTTTTTTTTATATATTTCACAATATCTTTTATTTTAAATTTAGTTTATTGATTCAGTGTTAAGATAAGAGATACTCACCTGCCAGATTTTCGTTAATATATTCATATCCTGCTATGAATTTTCCTATAATTGCAGCCATGACGATGATGCATATAAATAAAACTTAGATATTATTTATATATATACTTGAAAATTTATTATCTAATTACGATCTTTTTGTCGTAATGCTCACACAAATAATAAATAAAAATATTAGTTAACTATATCCTCATTTTCTAATAATATAGATATTATATGCGTTTTCTAACAATATAATTGCGATGGAAAAATAATAATTTAGTTTTGTATTTAGTCTTCAACTTCTTTAATTGAAATTATTATTGAGTTATCTTCGATTATTATGTGAATTGATTATCTCGAATTTGAGACTGAATACTTCACTCGGTCAGTTATGAAGATATATTTTTATTGGTCTTTTTATTAGTCTTTTTGTCGCCAATCTACTTCAATGTGACTAGTCACTATGAAACTCGCGAATCGACTGCAAAGACGTATTTCCGCTCTGTCATAAAATTTCTTTCTCATTGTATTATAATTATGGCACGTTTGCTTAACAAATATAAGGGGTCTTCCAAATGTCGCACTGACGTTTATTCCTTCTAGAATATGTGACCTTTCAGTAAATTTAACTCATAATAAAAAGATATTGAATATTTATAAGTAATTGTGAATCGAAAAGAAATTGCTCCAGCAGTATCTAGAAGTTTGTTTACATTTTATCTTTTTTCGATCTCTTATTATTTGTCTAATATTTGATTAATTTTATCAATTTGGAATCGAGTATATTTTTTACGTCATATTATGCAGTAATTATGATCGATATATATTGTAAAGGACATATAATCTAAGTGAGAAAAATATTTACACACTTTGAAGAATAACATTTTTATAACTAGAAAAATAGAAATACAATAATATTATGAAAATTTCGCGAATCTCTTTTTAACTGTTAATTTAATAAAAAAAGAATATTTCACATTAATCACATTGGTTTTTTTAATTATAATAATAATTATATGTAATAATTGTATATTTAAGATATATTTTTTGAAAATTTAACATTTATAGAAAATAATATTTATTGTTATTTTTTGTAATATAATATTGTCGGTTTATTGTTAGCATATAATTTCATATATATTGCACATATTTAAGAAAAATAAATCATAATTTCTCTGATAAAAAATATTGGCATATTTCTTCTAAAAGTTTGGCTAATAGCTAATAGTTTTGTAATCGGCATGAGTTTTCGAAATTTGTTACGTTTCTAATTTTGTTGGAGACACACTTCTTCAGTTTCATCTTCTTCGCAGATGATCCCGGCTAGTATTCAGTCTCAATTACAATATAATTGCATTTACAATGCTCAGACACATTGTTAAGAATATGAATATGAAACATTGCAGCAATCATGAGTAACATTCGAGAAAGAGGAAATATGCACATTTTTTAACTTTTATAACATTGTCGTTTCTGCGTAATAATAGCAAGAATTACAAAATTCCTTACTCTATGCGTTATCGATATTAGTATATATATATATATATATATATATATATATATATATATATATATTTATGTATAGATAAATATCTATTGATACACGATCGTCTTGCATAATAATCAAGAGCATATAAATTGTTAATGAAAAACATTATATTATACGAATTTATTAATAGAAAAAAATAAAAATTCCACAAATTTTATTATCTTTTTCATATTCGAGATCATTATAATATAATATTAATATATATATAAAAAAAAAATATATATATATATATATATATTTATATTTACTGTAATATATTAATAATATTAATTTATCTATTTTTTATTGATTTTTTTCAAATAAACACAAATTGATTTTTAATCACATAAAAGAAAAGATTTTTTTATGTAAAATTATTTAATTTGAGTTTCTTACCAATCAATAGGCCAATTAACATACAATATACAATCATCGACCGCATCTAAAGAATATTAACATTTTTATTTACATAAAAATATCTACATCTCGGAAATATCACGAACAGTAAGTGACATTTTTATGCATTATCACTGTTATATGATAATATTTTAATTCTAATAAAACGCGCGCACGCACTTAATAATCATAATTTAAGTTATTTTACGTTATATTATTTATGTTTATTATGTAAAAAATCAAGTAAAAAGTTAATAACAAAAATCAAGTTAAAAGTTAATAATAGGTTTTAATTAAACAGTTATAATTCTAAAAAAGCAATACTACAATAAAAAAGTAATTTACAAATATTTTCTTATGAGAGCTACGACTATTTAAAATTTCTAAACAATCATTATTTTTATATAATATTTGTGTTCAAATTTTATAATAATAAACAATAAAAAATCTTTCGCATATAAGATGTAACGTAAATATGTACATATATATTTTAAAATATATTTATTTGTAAAATTTAAATTTTTTTTGTTCATAATTGTGTCAATGTTGTTTGCACATAAATTTCAAAAAAATTACGAATAATGTATAAATGCGTACGTGCGTGTGTAATGTCATTTGTCGATTAATAACTTTTTCTTAATATTCGATATTTCTTACAACTTCTTACATTATATTTTAATATATTATATTTTTTCCTCTGTTTTATTTTATTATTTTCATCAATTTTTAAAAATAAAATTAGAAAAGAAACTAGTAATCATTAGTGTTTATCGTGTTCATTAACCATGTGCCGCTACTTACATTATGCACATAATATACTTAATAATATACTTAATATTCCACGCATGACGTTAATGTTAATAAAATTTCAATTATATTAATAATTAAAATTTTTAGAGAATATAAGAACAGAGGGAGGAAATATAAGTTATTTTAATCATAAATTGTGCAATCTTGAGACATTTAATCGTTAAGACGAAAAAGATACGTAAATTTTCAATAATAAGGAAAATTGACAAGAAGAAAAAGAAAGATATATAGAAAGAAAAAAGAGACACATTTGGAAAAAAATAATACAGATTATCAGAGAAATACTTCTCTTAAACGATAAAAATATAAGCAATTTTGCGCTTCAGTCTAGATATATTTTGCGATTTCAGTTAAAATGAATACATTTATGTTTGAAATATCATAAAGATATGAAACATATAAAAATGCATTCTTTTAAAACTACTTATAAAAAGAATCTTTATAAAGTCTAACATAAAAGAATCTTTACTTGAAAATATTTCGTATTAAAAATTGTTTTTATGTGATCGCCAAAATACGGAGATTGGAATTTAATTTTCTGTATTTTAGATCTATAAAAAATTTACTGCAATTATAATATATTAGTAATATTAATGTGTTAAAATAATTTTATTTTATTATTATATAATTTATATTAATAATTGGAATTTTTATCGGAATATACGTTAGTAATATTGCGTCATAGTACATGTTTTATTTTAAAATTAATAGCATTCCTACAATTAATTTGATGTTAATGTATTCGTAAACTTCCCTGTTATGTATATGTAGGTTAGGTAACGAATTGTAGGAATATCAATCTTAGGAATTGTAAGAATATCAAATAAATAATTAAATATATATTAATTCATATGAATACGTATACAGAACTACTCGATATATAATAAAAAGAAAGAAAATTATCGGAAAGATCAATCGATGACACGACATTTATAGTTTGTAATAATTTAAATTTTTATTGTTTTATAAGGCGTATGTAATTAAAAAAAATGATAATATCATATTATAAAAAAACATTCTTTTTTATAAAAGCTGCAATATTAAATATAAACTCTTTGTTAATTTCAGAATATTTTTTATGTGATTTTTTTCAAGTCATCTTTTTTTCTTTTAGATAATAGATAAATATTTTATTCTAATTTTCATGTGAAAAAAATTGCATTTAGTTATATTTTCTTTGTGTGATTATTTGTCAGTTTTTATAAGATAGATTGCTTAAAAATGACAATACAGTTGGAAAAATTCGTTTTTCCTGAAAGATAAATTTGTATATTTATTTGATATCTTTTATTAAGATAGTAAAAAAATATATATATGTGCTTTCTGTATATCTGTCTATTGTATAGATTCAAAGTCTTCGCATAGAGCAAAAGCAGGGATCTTTATTCAATTCTAGATCACGACCTCAAATTCTTGCATTTATTAGATTATACAATGATAGTATAATTCCGTTGACTTCCTCAATTGCAGTGTAATAAATACATAAGAAATCTTTGCGCAGTACATATTTTGATAAAAGAATACAAAAGATTTTATCATCAAATTCTTATTTTGATTTAGGTTAAAATGATATATAATTATTAATAAATGTTAAGAATAAATTTTATCAGCATTATTTATAACTGAAATTAAAAATCAGCGTTAAAATTAAAAATCTGCATAATAAATGAAAAAAGTAAATGTAAAAATTAATTGATATGAATAAGGATTTAAGATATTTGGCGAAATGACAGTGCAAATATGGAAATGAAGACTGTTCGGCTAGAAAAAGATTTAATTTTGTTATAGAATAAGAGTTAAATTGATTTAATAAGGTTTGTAAAATCAGCGTATCATTGCTTTTCATTGCGTCTGATGCGCATGCGATAAAAATACTAATTTTGAAAGAATAATTGTTTTATCAAAAAATATTGTATAATAATTTATAGAATATGTGTAAATATATTATTAAATATTAATATAAATATTAATTATTTTTTATAATTTTCTATTATTATAATTGTGCCTAATTTATAATTAATTGATATTTAATCCACTCTCTCCTAATGGATATATATATATACAGGGTGTTCTAAAAAGATATGTCAAAAATTTAAGGAGATATTCCTTACATCTGAAGGATGAAAAAATGTTATATGGACATAGGTGCGGAAATGTTTATTTCAGGAGTTATGTTGAAAATACTGTTAGCTGTATTACTTACACAAGGAAAAAACACCCTGTATACAGGGTGATTCAAAATAACCCCTGTGTCCGTAAAATGACACATTGTTGAGTCAATTCTAAGACGATTTTTCATTTTGCAAAATTTCGTCCGAAGCTTAGTTTTCGAATTATTAAAGAAAGAAGTTAACGCATGACGGGTCGGATACAAGAGGCAGGCAAGGGTGACGCGAGACCCGTCAGACGCGGGCGCTTACGCGGGGCGCCTGCTGCGATCAGCTGATCGCTATACACACAGAC